TATATATATATATACAGTATGAAGCAAAGAGTTACATGACTGGAGATCGCTTACGGCATAATAAAGATATCTTGTTGAGAAATGATGTTTGGATCTTTGTTTAAAGTTATGGTCTTTTAATTTTTAATAAATAAACTATAGTTTTATTGAGTTGCAATATTTATAAACAAGTTTTTTTTTATTATTATGTTAACCAAATAAAATCATCATCAAATTGGATTAGTTTACTGTTTATATGGTAGGCAGCTGCAAAATATTCATATCACTCAAACCTTTATTGAATAATTTTGTTTATATATTCAAACAACGTAGATAAATTGGCTACTTAATTATTTCTAATTGCAATCATGTGCTTAAAATAAAAAACATTATCATTATTGGTGAGAATAAAACATGTTTTTATTAATTATCAATGTATTTGATTTACAGAAGATCAATGAGGAATTAATGCATATATTAAAAACAAACATAATGGTGACTATCAATATCAGAGATTCATTTGGCAAGTAGGACATGCAGCTGATAATTAAAAAAATTTGGCAAGATGTATTCTAGACACAAAAAATATGTTTTTGCAAAATGTGCAAGGTCTATCAAAAGAAATGAGGAGTAATTTTAAAATTGTATTTAAAAAAACAAAATAAGGTGAATGAAAATAGAAGAGTAGCACCAAGTTAGAAGGGCATGCACTAATTGATTAGTGAACCCTGTGATTAATTGATCAACAAATATCTAATCACTCAGCTCTGGTCTTAACTACTTTTATAACATTTTAGTTAAATTCATCGTAAACAATTTTTTTTCAAAGTGATACACTTGTACACATTAGCAAATACTTTTTCAAATGACTTGTAAAGCCATTAAGATAAACTTAAGTATATGTGCTAACAAGTTTGTATTTGCAGTGTGTTTATAATTTAACTTTGTCTGTGTTTTGTTCTTTGGTTTTTCTGTGCTTGTTTTTTATCAGTGGGTTACCATATATAAGTTATAAGTAATGTAGTCTTGGTTTGTTATGCATAACCAAAAAAAAACATTGTTTTCTGTAACTTTGTAAATGACCTGTCTGTAACTTTTATCATCATTAAATAATTACATTACACACAGCATCTGTAACTGTAGCATGTTCTGTATGTTATAAATTAGCTCTCTTTTTCAGGCATTAACCATTAACAAGGAGAAAGGAATTGGTGGTGTTAGGCACCATTTTAATTCTAAAATTGTAGATTTGCTTGGCTTGCTTTTTCTTGCAGAAAGCATCATCTCATATTTGAAAGCAGTTGCACAACTGTATATTAGAAATGGCTAAGAGAATAGCAGCCAACCAGCTTACACATGACAACTGGGAAGAAGAGGATGTTCCTGAAGATGCTGGCATGTTCCAACAGGCAGACAAAAATGAAATAAATCGAAGAGTTTTACGAAAGGCTAAGAGACGAAATTTGGAAAAAAATTCTGTATGTTTTTCTTCTTACTTTCAAGCTATTTTTCAAAAAGTTAGTCTTCCAAAAGTTTTTTCATTTGTTACGATTGATGAAAAACCATTTCCAGGTAGTTGCATGTGAATTGTATAGTCTTTACACCAATACTTTCAGGGTGCCATTTCTCTTACTCATCATTTATTCATGAATGAGTTTTCAAAAATAAATAAAAATTATATTTTTCTAGGTTAGGTTTATTTACATAATATTAAAATATACAGATTTTCCTTTCTTAGAATATCCTACATGTAACTAGAGTTATTTGTATAGTTACATCTTTATCTCTAGAATATTGAGGAAAAAAATATTGCCTAATAAAACACAAGTTTTTGCCTACCAGAAAAGCATAGTTTTTAATGACCCACTACCAATCTCTTAAGAGACTTCAAATTACATAATATAAATTATAGAATTAAAAAGAAATTGCCAATAAAACAAAATAAATTCATAGTTTAGGATACAGACAAAATATTTGCCTTGAAGTATCCATTTAAATGTTGTAACTCTTTAAAAAATTTTAAATGTTATTTGATAGTTTTTTTATGATAACCTTTAACAAATAGGACAGTGAATTGTACAGACCACCCTGATGATAAATTTAATTTGTATTTTCATCACGTCATTGTTTTCTGTCCAACCTTTCTGTGTGTTTATTAATACAGTAATACATTAATATAGTATCTATGAACTTTTTTTTTTTTTAATAATTTCACCTTTTGTTTCTCTCATATGAAAAATTAAAATCTTAAATTGCACAATATTAATAACTTCCAACCAAAGTAAGTTGTGTACTTAGAGGGAAACTAAAAATCAACTTGGCCATCAGTATAGATAAGTATACTTGTCTTGCATTTCATCTTGTAAACATCATAATGTATTGTTTCACTAGTTGGGTACTCTTGCTCTTAGTGGTATTTTATGGCTGTAAACTCAATAGTATCTTGCAAGGTTCAGACAGTTTAGGAGATTTAGGCTAGTTCTAAACACAAATTCTAAGCTTACAATGAAAAACATAATGATAATAGTAAACTAGATGTATTTCTACAAGGTTCTCGAAAGTGTTCTATTTCAAGAGTAAATAAATCCAAAGTAACGACTATTTTATTTCTTGCTTTTCGAGTTCATACATCATGTTATATTGTAGCCTACATAATTCTTCTCGTTATTTGTGGCATGCACAGGTTTTACTGACATCACAACAGTACAAATTGCAATGTTAAATGTCTCTTATGGGATGTAATTTTAGTATCTATTGACTGACTGACAATACACTATTGCGAGTGGTTAAAACAGGTGATTCCTTCGTGTGGCCTTGGGCCCAATTTTGGGAAAATGCCAAATGAAAATATAGTAATTACATTTGATTACTAGCTAGTATAACCAATAAACTTGCCTTCTTTGCATTATTAGCAATGCTGTGTTTATTACCAAGTGAAATTTGTATACGAAACTCCAAGTTGTACATCAAAACTGTACACAAGAACAGTGTATAAACACAATGCTACTCATTAGTACAGCTTAAGGTGTAATCACTCGTGAATTTTTTATGGGCTTAATATAGTTGTAGAACACTATTGACCAAACTTCTGAAACCCAAGTCAGGCTTCAACAGAATATGTATTTTAACCTTGATTATGGTAATAGCTACTTACAATATTACACAGCTGATGAATTTTTTAAATACGATGAGAAAAGGAAGAACTTGATGTTAAAAAACATTGTGACATACATATATACACACACACATGTATGTAAACCACATAAACCAGGTAGAACTGAAGTAATTTTAATAAAAGCTGTTTCAAGTGGAAAAAAAACATGTATGCATTAATGTATTGATGTGGCACCATCATCTAACTTAGCATAAAATAATTTTTCAAGACATAATGAATATTTCATATGGTGCCCTTTGATGATATCCATTTTCTTTACTGTTTTAATTATTGATGTTCTGATAAAGAGGTGGATTGTGCTATAAGCAAGTCATATTTGGGTGAAAATAAATATGAAATTGGTATTTGTTATTAATGATGTACTGAATGCATATATTTATATGTATGACTACCTACTGTGTTCTTATTAAAGGTACATTATTAAGATGAAAAAATAAGCACCATTTTCTCAGTATCATTAATAAATATACAAAGTTTGTCTGTTAATATCTCAGTCTGCAAGTATGTATTGTCTCATTTTCATAGACCCCTCTGTTGCAAAATTAACACATAATCAGGCCATTCTGGCCCAAATCTGAACAAAATTGAAGAAAATAAAACAACTTTTAAGGTTAAAATTGGGTTTGATACCCACAGTGGGTAGGGCACAGATAGCTCATCATGTAACTTTTAGTTAAAACAAACAAGTATAATTTGATTACTTGGATAGTTAGAATAAACAAAAATAGTAATGATCGGAACAACTAATTTTGATTAGTTGATTATTTTTGTGACTTGTTTATTTAATCATAATTTCACTTAATTGGTTGTTGGAATAATAGAACACAAAAATAAATGGAAACCTTTACTTTGATTAGTTGATTATTTTCATGAAGTTAATCTATTTAATCATGACTTTAATCAGTCAGTTTACATGACACTCTTCAATATAATTGATGCTCTTAGGTAGTTGATTACATTAAGTCATCAAGCTCTGTTAACCTTCTCGTTATGGATAGATCAAAGTGCTCGTGTTAGGACCTGTGGCGGATTAACTACCACCGGGGCCCCAAGGCTGAGCTTCAGTAAGGCTTCCCCTGATCTTGCTCCCCTACCTCACCTTTCATTGAATAGAATAAACTGATGTTAAGTTATGTTAAATAACTTGTATCGTTGTACTATTTATAATGTACTACATGTATAATATCAGAAAGTTATATGAATCAACTACAGCCCATTTATTCATTTATTTTTCATTTTCTTTACATTTATAGTTTAAAAAACTTCCGTGTTTTTGGTTTACAAAAGTGTCGATAACAGCACGTAAATCAACAGATCGAAGCATATCTGATTCAATGTGCATGAGTGCCAGATGAATAAGTTTCTCATATCTCATTGTTGAGTGCAAATAGGTTTTGGTCCTCTTCAGTGCCGAAAATGAACGCTCACCTGAACAGTAAGTGATCATTAAGGACAGATAAATTCTAAAGCAAATGTATGTAGTCGATCTCTTGCCAGAGCTCGATACATCCCAGTAACAGTGACATCATCATCGGATTGTCCATGAATGTACTTCTGAAAGTGGACGAGCTGTTCCACAAAGGCCAAGTCAGAGTCGTCCGAATAAACTTGTATGAGGGTATTCGCTACCTTTTTAAGTGCGTCGACATCGATATTGCAAATACGAGGAAGAAATCCAAATCAGTTGGACACAGATCTATATGCTTCAGTGCATTTTTTAAGCTCTGCTGATAATTTGTCTAAGATCGGTAAGCACACATTAATCTTGAAACTCTGGCGAGGTGAAAAATCTATTGCATGTGCTTCGCTGTCATATCTTGTTATCCTGGTACTAACTTTTTGCTTCCTTTGCATTTCTTCTCTGTAAACTGATGTTCCAGCCTTTGCAATGCCTTTTTGCTCAAAGTCCTCAAATGAGTCATTGGTCCTAAGTCTGAGATATAGGACTCCAAAGACTGCAAAAGTCTCATGCCTTCATTAAGATCTATGTCTGGGCTTTGTAAATTCAAGCTGGTTTTGTGGAATCGCTCCAAAATTGTTGTCCAAATGCTGACAAGTATTCCATACTCCAGAGATTCCATTTTGCTTACAAGACCTCTGGCTTCTTGTCGCGTGTTTGACTTTTCATCTGGATTGTCAGCAACGCTTTCCAATGCTGATTTTACTTTCTCGTATCCATGATCTAGGGTGGCAGTAGCACTGGCGTGAGCAGACCACCTGGTATCACTAAGTCTCTTCACAACTGCAAGATTCTTTCCAAACTCACCCACAAGTATTTCCCACCAGTGGGTTGAAGCACTGAAGAAATTGTACAACTGTTCAACAAAATCAAAAAAGGCAGTAGCTTTCAGAACACGATCTGAATGACCGACAAGGTTCAACGAGTGAGCAAAGCAAGGATCAGCTACTGGATTTCTCTCACGTATTTTACCTTGAAGACCATGATACTTGCCACTCATGTTGGAGGCATTGTCGTATGATTGACCTCTGCCATTCTCTAAGTCTGTTTCTAAAAACATCAGAATACTCTTGGCAAGTTGCTCACCACTGTGACCTCTGCAATCGAGAAATTTGACTAATCTTTCAATAGGACCACTCTCACGCACATATTGAAAAATGCAAGACAGCTGATCCACATGTGAAATATCAGGAGTTGAATCCACAGATATTGAAAAATATTTGGCTTCTTTGAGTTCCGAAATAATTTTCTCTAACACCTTTTGACCAAGCATTTCAATCAGCTCATCGCATACTGTGGATGAAAGGTAGGACACGGAGCCTTTACCCTTATTTCCATTCTTTTCAATATGAGTTGCCAAAAAAAGATCAAATTGTGCTAGCAATTCTAGTGTCCCTAGAAAATTGCCATTGTTTGGTGATCCGATACACTCGTTGTGTCCCCTAAAAGATAGGGGACAGTCCACACTCAGCAAGAAATTTAATTGTGGCAACAACCATTTTCAGAAGTGCTTTCATGTAATCACATTCTGACTGGTATTGTCGAGTAATCAAGCTGTTTACACATCGAATACCTCAAGACCTTGTGGTGAGAGTAATGGCCACATTCTGATGACCTTGGCTGTTTTTGTGACTTTCCAATCTTTGACTTGCATTTTTCCAGTCAGAGAAGCCATGTTTCGAAAAAGCATGGTCTTCACTTGAATTTGAAAACAGTTTGCAGTTAAAACAGAATGACTTACCTGTGCTTGGAGAATAAGACAGCCAACTTCTCCTGATTTACTCGCCATTTGTAAGGGAGTGGTAAAACATGGTCTTGCAAAAGTAACGTTTCTCTTTACTGTCATATTTTATAGATTTCACGATACTGGCATTCATGTTCCAACAGGCTTCGCTCCCTGTCTTTAACCAGTATACGTGCATGTCTTCTGTAATTTTGTCAGGCCACATGCCCAAATCACTCTCCATCGACTTCAATGACTTGTCTGCGATTTCTCCATCATCGGATCCGGAATGAACTTCATGTTGCAATTCTTCACCTACTTTTTCATCGTCCACATCATCAAGTACTGCTTTTTTTGCTGGTTTAAAAACTTGTCAAGCTAGGATGTATTTTTTTGTACACTCTCCACTTGTGCTTCACTCGTGACGTAATAACGTCGTCATGGTAAACACAATCTCGCGGTTGCAGTACAGAGTCCTAAAAGCATTACTTCTATATGTTTATATGTTTGTAGCCTAATTTAGAAAACAAAATAGTATTTGTAATATTCCAGATATGGAAAAACTATATGCAAAAGTACTGAAATATCATCCAAAATACTCACGTGTACACTCAATTAAACCATTTTCTTGTACACTCAGTTAAACCTTTTTTTGCTCTCGGGCCCCCTTCCCTTCCAGGCCCCTAGGCTTAAGCCTACTCAGTCTAATGGTTAATCTGCCACTGGTTAGGACCCTTTACAGAGTTACATTGAAAATTTAATTAAACTACTTTATTATCAATGTATACTAATAAAATGTAGTAAAATTTTAATGTTATATAAGTTTAAACTTCTTAATTTTATAAGAAAATATTTTAAAAAATCCTCAGTCTCTCTTAGTATGAGAATTGTGACATTTATTTTCTAGGTCTTTCCCATTCTCGAATACATTTATCATCCTTCTCTGCAGTACGGAATTTAATATAAATTACTCATTACAGTATAGATATTACTAATGCAAAGTCTTAATTTTTATAGCCTTCGATCTTATTTGTTTAAAGAGTTATAAACTAGAAAACCAGACCTACTTGCCATGCTCACCTGTCACATTCTCTCTTTTTATGACCAACAGAAAGGCAGTGTTTTAATCTGTTGAATTGTGTATAATGCTGTGTTGTTTTCATTATAGAGTATCATTAATTTTGTTGTCAATTTCAAAGTTTATCTTATGGTGTTCAGATTGAGCAGCAAAGGGAATTAAGTTTTAGTTAGAAAGCGATTTAAATTAAAATAGTTATAGGACATTGTTTGCTTTGTGTGTGTGTGTGTGTTGTTATTCCGTGTTTTTAGGTACAGTATTTAAGTAAATAAGTTATTTAGTGTACTAGTGCCATAATTATAAAAAGTAGGCTTAAATTTCATTGGAAACTAACAGCAAAAAAACAAGAGGTCAGAGGTAAGTACAAGTTATCTTGTTTTTCATGTATATTCTTTATTTATTGTTATAAAAGGAACTAAAATGTAAAAATTTAGAGATGTGTTAGGTTAGAGTAGGTAAGATAATGAAAAATAAAAAATATTCTTCACAAGATATGCTTGGGAGATGCTTGTGTGTTACATCATTCAGTATGGTAATGTGAGCTATCCATTTGCCAAGCGATTTACAACTTATGTGGCAGGATAATTAGTTAGACAAAATTAAGTATATAAAAAATAGTTACAAGGTCTGTCAAATCAACTAAGTTCGTATAGAGTTACAATATATAAAATATAAAGTTTTACTGAAACAAAGTTTGTTATTTATTTAGGAGGTTTTATAGGCTATGCAAATGATATTTGAAAATTCTTAGCTGAAACTTTGCATTCGGAGCAGTCAACACTCTGACTTCATATATTCATGAACAGATCTTCAGTAAAAATACTTAATTAAAAAATCTGATTTTTTGTATATATAAAAGACTTGTAAATTTGACTGAAAGTTTGCCAAGTTTGGTGAAGATTCACAGGACGTTTAAAGTTATAGTATGGAAACTGATGGTTACTTTGTTATTATAAGGTTGGTTGATGTCATATGGACAGAGTAAACATACTAAACTAAACCTGTTTTCCCAAGTTTTTGACTAACCAAGTAAAAATTAAGAAGTTATTTCTTAACATGTATGATAATAATGAAATAGTCACACCAGTAAATATTAACTGTTTTCAGAATCCAGTTGGGGAAAAAAAACCAGTAATAATGGTTGGTAATTGTACTAGTATTTTCTACTTCAAATTGTAAACTATTTGGCCTATACTCTTGAAAGAATAGAAATAATTTTGTGATTAAAAATCAGTATTGAGTTTGTTCTTCTTTATCAAAACATGTATGCACTTAAACACTATGGCATGGGATTTGTCAGATGCCACAGGTCTATGATAGTCTAAAAGTTAGGTACATTTTTTCATGAGACATGCTGATTAACAACTTAATTGTCTCAGTAGTGCCTCTATCATTGGAAACCAGGAAATGTAAAGCTCTCCTTTCATTCTAAATGTAATAACTGTATGTGAAAAATTTCTTTCTGGCTTAGAGATTGTTTCAACAAAATTCCTAGGAAGTGCATTTAACAAAAGAGGTTATGCAGTTATGATTAAAATGTATAATACTATTAACAATATGGCAAATGGCACTGTTTCTGTGAAATAGCACAGAAATGTAACTGGTTATATAAATAGCTGTATAAAATTAAAAGAGTTTGAATGAACAAAATTGTACATGGATTCATAATGCTAACACTGTACTAAAGTTTGTATATTCAGTGTAATCAAGTATGTACATTATTACAGTGGCTTCCAACTGCCAGTCTGTGGACTGGTGCAATTCCACAGATATTTCAGCTGATCTACAAGATTGTTGAAAAACAAATTTTCTAAAATATGACTACTGAAGTATATTGTTTTACAGTGTAACATAAAAGTACTTTGTAAAGTTAATGTTTGGTGAAGTGGTCAGTGTAATTTTGGTGTTGGAACTAGCTGTTCCTCAGCTGGAAAAAGTTGGGAACGACTGCATTATTAGACGTAATGATCAGATTAAAACTGATAGTTTTTGATGCATTTATGTATGTGTTACTAGCTTTAAGTTATTTACACCACACTTATAAAGTGTAAATGAAGATTTTACTAAAATTATAAATGTTAATTAAGTCTTCTGAACTGTATTTTATATTTTTTAGCTTTTAAGATCAAGCACTACTTTATATTTAGATGTGCCTGTATTTTTATCCAGGTAACTACATTGCATTTCTGTGGTTACAGATAGTCTCATCATTCAGATTCATTTATATTGAAATATAGAGTTTTTGTTGCTTTACAAGAAAACGTGCGCGTAAAGATAAAATACTTTTTCTAGTTTCTTGTAATCACATGCTGCTATGTTTAAATGCTCATAAACTTGTTTTTTCAGTACTGAAATGTTTCAGAAATTGGTAAAAATACCAAATAATTTTGTACAAAAAAAATGCACTCATATTTTGCTCACTTTATCAAGTAACTGAGTAATTGAAATATTTTTTAATGTTAAGTGATTTCTGTAAGATACACAAATTTTAAATCTTGTAAAGTCATGGAATTTGTTTAAACAGATAGTTCTGTACTGGAACTCTTTGAAATTCAATGGTTTTATCAGAAGGTCCTGGAAATGTTCTCAAAAGTAGCCCCATCACTCTCAAATCTTCCATTCTCATAGACAACAAGCCTTACTGTTATGTGTTTCTCATTAATTGATTACATTCAACAAATCAGTTATTCTCATATAAGACTTGGATAATCGGAATAGTAAAAAAATGATAACCAAAAACAACTAATTCAGATTAGTTGATTATCTTTTTGAGTTGTGAGACTAATTGAATAAGCTGAACAATTTTGAATTAATTGAAAACAATGTGAAAATATAATGGTGATATTTAAATGTCTTGGATGATTGGAATAATCAAAAACTAATAATTTGGAAATACTAATCCAAATCAGTTGGTTATTTGTTTTATTAAATTAATTGTAATAAATTCATTATTTTTATGTGACATTAATCATTTTAATCGATGCTCAAAGGTAATTGATTGAGTTAATTGCCAAGCTCTACTGGAAAATGTGAAGTTGTTTTGTGACAAAAACTTGAATGGAAAAAGCTTCACTGTATAGAAGTGGTTCAGATATTTTAAGTTCATAATTTTGTTTTGATATTATGTCATGATGCTTATTTAACCATCTTTTGTAATTAGCTCTTTTCAGTTGTGATAAAAACTGCTTTTGTAATATGGAAATGTTTTTTCCCCCTTTCACTTTCAATTTTTTGTTTTGGTTGTCACCAGTAAATGTTATTGTTATGCTAGGTTTTGTATTATTAGTGTTCGTGCAGGTGAAGTTTTGATGTTAAAATATTTGTATTAATATTACTTCTGTATAGTTTTATTTGTTTGTTTTTTCAGACTGGCAGTGCAAATCCTTTCTCAGGTTTTGGTGGCTTTGGTTCCAAACCAATACCTGCTTCCAATTCTGTTAATTCATTAAGTAAAAATCCATCCATGCCATTTACAAATGGTACAACTGCTTTTCGTCAGTCTTCAGCTACTGATAAAAATGTATGCTTGGAGAGCTCATCATCAACAGGATTACAGGTAGCCACACAGAATGTTGCTAAAAAGGAAAGTAAACCACTCTCCAGAGATATTAGATACTACCAACAGTTAAAAACACTGAATGAGAATTTTGTGGAGTGGATTCAAAAGCACCTGAGCAAAAGCCCTTATTGTAATTTTACACCTGTGTTTCAGGATTATGAGAAGTATGTTAAAGATATTGAGAAAAAATTTGATGTACAGAATTTAGACATTGAGTGTACAGAACAAAGTACAACAGTATCTTCTGGTTTGACACTTTCCTCAGAAAGTACAAGTACTACAACATCAACAGCTGTGTTTAACTTTGGCTTTTGTTCTAAAACAAATGAAGGTAGGTTATTAAGAATTTTCTTAATTATTCATGAAAATTGTGAAAGGAAAAAATAATTATTTAGATTCATTAAAATATCTGAGCAAATTCTATGTATCATTATTCTAGACTTGTACAGGTATGGAATAAAATTTGAAATATTTAAGAAACAGACCTTAAAGTTTGACCATTTCAATACGGGTCACAAGTGAAAGGCCATGTCATCTTGTTTGTTGACTCACATTCAAAATTTTAATGAACTACTGTTTCATGAATTTATTTCTATGAGTTTGGTACCAAACTGTAGATTATAATTCAAATTTTAGAACTAAATATTACTCAATTTGTTAGTTTAAAAGTAAGTCTAAGAAACACAGTTAAATGATTTTTGTGTGTCATGTAGTATGTTGAATGCAGCACTGTTTCAAATTAGCTATTTGTGAAGTCAAAATACCAAGTCTATAGTTTCATACGAAACATAAACTCAAATTGCAGATATTGAAAAGCTAGAATATAAA